AAGAATAAGGTTCTGCATATCTGTTGTAATTGCACAGAAGAGGAGCTGCCAACAGCATATACTACTTACAGAGTCATTTAAGGAACTTTGATATCCGTCTACCTCAATGCAATGTATTTCCCTCAGGAAACAGAAAAGAGGTTTTATCACGCTCTGGCTTTCCCTCTTTCAGTAGCTTCTGAAAATTATGCATGCATGGGTATTTTCAGTTTAATCATATTTTATAATTTTTAACTATTACTTAAAACTCAAATTCAGGATAATCAGCCCATCTGTTAGCAATGGTTATAAAATTATGTTGAAGATTAAAAATCTGATGCAGTGTCAATATGTCCTAGCATAATTAAGCTTGTTTTATGATGAATGAGTAGGATATGGCTTTCGTCTACTCGAGCAGCTTTAAAACGGTAAAGCCTTTGTAGGCTTAATGTATGAAATGTGAAGGTATGCATAAACCACACAAAAACAATTATAAAACTCAGATCCTGTATTCATAGATGTGGTGTCTTTGCAGGCCTTAGGAAATGCCAGCAGGGTGATTCCATGCCACAACCACGTTCACTGCATTTTTCAGTCCATCAAACCCTAACTTGGATCTGCTCTCCTCCCTGTAGAATGTCACCCAAACAAACAGGTATTAAAAATTCAAGTTTGCTGAATTCATTATTCATTTTAGAAAGGGCCAACATGACCTGTATTGGCACTGGTGGAAAAATTAGCACATCATGGGCTTACATGAATTGAGGGTATTGCTGAAAATACTTCCTCTGTCCTTCAGTACTTGAAGTATTGCAACGTAGCCTAATCTACCCACAGTAAGAGTTAACAAGTGTTTTAATTCTGGCATTACTGTCAAACAACTATATATAATCATCTCTATTGGAAAAACATTCTTTCTGTGGACACTTTTTTCCCCCTTGAAAATGTGTCCTTGGGGAAAAGGAAAAAAAAAAAAAAAAAGCCCATTTTGCAAAAATAAAACTGTAAGCTCTTTATATAGTCTATGTGCTAAACTTCCTGCAAAGTCTTCCTCCCCTACAAACTCTGCCTGCAGATGAAGTGTTTTAACCTTGCCCTCTTAATTTATTCTACATTCTAATTTTCAATAAACAGATGCCGCCTCTTTTTGCGCTTGTTTCCACATTGTTCCACATTCTGCCTGTGTTGTTTCTGCATGTGTGAATATTCAATTATCTATTTCTCCATGATTCTGCAACTGATGGACTAAGTGTCTGTACAGGTTTGGGGGAGGGTAACCGGGGAAGGCAAAACTTAGAGGAAAGAGAGTTACAGAAGTCTGAACTCTTCTGAGTCAGGTACTTTCCCTGCTAAGTTAAGAAGAAAATCACAAGCCACAACTCGAAACGCTAGTGCACGGAAGCGGATTTGCTGCATGCTGGCTCATAACATGTAAGCATTTCTTTGGTCAGCGCTTGGGTGTGAAACGCTGCATAGAGACCAAAGGGGAAGCTGAGGCTGTTGGTGCTGCTGCTTCTGGAAACTCTTGTCTTTTTTGGATACAAAGCACAAAGCACCCGATTGCTGTTGTGGTTATGTATAGCTAAGAGGAGCTGATAACGTATGTTTGGCCTCAAGTGAAGTATGCTATGTAAAGGATGAAATATTGCTGTTTATGGGAACGGCCCAAAAAAGGAGATCACAGGACAGGCATAAAAGTAGAAAGGCTCTTCAGCACAGCTCTCAAGACCTTGTGGCCCAAGAGCCTGGCTGCAGCTGTGAGTAGCTTTATTCTGTGAATCTAAGGAAAGGCACAGAACTCAACAGTTAATAACTGCTGCTGCATCGTTCACTTGTAAGGCCACCTCTTTCCTGAAGCACTGGCGCGTTCTCACCGGGTGCAGCCCGCGCCATTACCTTGCACATTCCCAGCTGGGAACCCGAGCGACTTGGGTCGGCCGCTGCTCTCACGCTGTGCTGAGCTGACTCTAGTAACGGAACCATCAAACGTGGAAATATTTTTATTATGGACAATTGTAAGGCTTTATGGAAAAACTGAGCTAAACTGCAAACTGGTAGGCTGGGCAGGGACAAAGGCTGGGTCCAGAGGTTTATGTTTGCCAAAAATGGTAAAAAAATTAGAACAGCAGAGGTGGATCTGGAGCTCGCAGACAGGAGCCTGCAACTGGTGCAGTTTCAGAAGCCAGGGATGCTAAATGGGAAGATGGCAGAGCAAGGACACGGTGATTCAGAAGCTTCAGCTGACGGGGCAGCCTCTGCCAGCCGGGCTCCTGCGCAGCCGCGGCCCGCAGGGGAAGCCAGCCTTGCTCTCCCACCCTCTGCTCCTCCTTACTGCACACCCCTCAGCCGGAGCAGAGCCGCTGCCAGCACCAGCGTGCTCTCTGCCTGTTCTTGCATCTACACCGGTCTCTTCTTACCTGGCAATAAATAACCAGCTTTTGCTTACCTGGCAAGGGCTACGTGGCATGTTCTGACTTCAGGTGCAGCAAAGCACCTCCATCTCTCCCTGTACGTCCTGCAACAAAAGCAAAAAGACCCAGACAGGAAAGTGTGGCACAAAAACTTAGGGGCTAAGAGGCTGCCGTGAAAGACTTCTCTCTAATCACTGGAGCCTAGTGATTAAGAGCCAGAGCAGAATCCTGACACTAATAGGAGCGTATGTGTTGTCCTGAGGCTCTGTGGCTGTGGTACCCCTAACTAATTTAATGCAATTGCACAGCTGTTTAAAACCGCTATTCACCAGTACAGACAATTGGTGATAACCACCAGAACAGTAAAAGCGTCGAAAGGGCAGACCAAACATGATAAATAACTTTCTTGCCATTCACTCCTGCCTTTCAGCCCTTGAACCAGGAGGCGCCCGCTGCTTTGCATAAGGAAGCTGCCCCCCTCGGCTCCGCAGACCCGGGCCTCTGTCGCAGCGTGCTGCCGCCGCTCGGTAGCTGACCAGATCCATCATAATCCCTCACGCTCCAGAAGGAGCAGTTTAGGAATGATTTCATAGCTACAGCTGTGATAAGCTACGAGGCCTAGGAATAAAAGCCTCAAAACTAAGCTGAGACGTACAAAACACACTTTGCACTATTGTCTGGAAGCGCACTGGGCTTTACAAAGGCCAAGAAATTAATTCTCCCACCACCTGGGAAAGAGCAAGCATATGTCAGTTCTGCAACCAGAGCAAAAGCTGATCACTCACCTGGTGTGGGACCTCCAGCATGAGGCTCAAAGCCCCAAAGATCTCTACACATGCATTTTGATTATTTTATTTTGGTATTATTTATTTTGACATTTGTTTGCGTCCCTGCAAGTTGCACGTAAGTAGAACTTCGAATACTTGCCAGGCTTGGGCCCTGCAGCCCACGCAGGGCAGCAGTCAGCTTTTTAAAGTGTAAATGGCCTCTTAGGAGAGCTGGCCCTTGCCTGCTGATTTCCAGGAGGTCAAAGGAATTAAACCAAACCAAAACAAAAAAATTCCTGATGCACAGCCTATACAGCTCCCACGCAGTCAGAGGAAAGCACTGCCTGGATGTAGGCTTGCTTGCTGTGCAGAGGGAGAGTTGTTAGCACTCAAGTTAGAGCGCCAGGTGAAGACTCTGCAGCTGCAGCTCTGCTCTGTGCAACAAGAGTGAGAAAGCTCAGCAATAAGAAAAAAAAGCCACAAAACTTTCTAACCAGAAAATTATTGGAAAAGGGAAGGTGATGTTCTGTGAGTACACTGCCCAGCTGGAGACAGAAACAGTGATAGAGTTCACACACACACACACACACACACCCCCTATCACTAACCAGCCCCTTAAAAGTTAAATGATGCATTTGATTTGGAAACGCTGCTCAGCGGACGAAGTCAAACCTGTTCCTGTCCAGCAAGCGCAGGCTATTGCTGCGGCGTATTCTGCATTTGCATGAGCCTCAGTAGGAATTTCATAGGTCTGCTCAGATAGCACGGTGGCAGGGAACAGATCAGTAGGTAAAGCAGAGAAGTGCAGAGTACCCGTAAATCATAAGATTTAATTACATGCTTGGTTAATATTTACAAACATTGAAGTTGTTGTTAGATATGGAAATAAAAGAGGGAAATAGGAGACAGGGGCTGCAGTAGCCAAGCAAAGCCAAAATATAACAGGTTAGAGTATTTATTGTGACCTGGCATATGCCTGGAGTATGGAATGGAGACACAGTATATAAACTGAAAGAATAAATAAATAAATATTGACATTGTTCTACACCTGTTTAGCCTCTGGAGACCAGTGATTTGTGGGACCATATGTTGGACAAAATGAGACTGTTCGTTGATAATTGTAAATGTGGTGACCCCTTGCAAACTGGATATTAAAAATATTAAGTAAATGGCACATTTTAATTATACGATAAAGAGGCTGTTCTCCACCATTAAAAGACTGCAGCTGTCAGGAGGAATTGATCATATGACAGAAGGTAACATTTATTTGATAGTAGACCTTGGTAAGTGACGTCCCAAATGATCTTTAGATTCTCAGACAAACACATTCATTTCAGACGTGGGTTTA